CGGTGTTCTAGGTGCAGAAGCTTGATGTATTATTCCATTTTATTCACAAAACATGTTAAATTCATTAGAAAAATATTCTCCACCTCTATCACTTCTTAAAGTATATAATTTTCTTCCTAATTGATTTTCAACTTCAATCTTATAAGTCTTAAAGGCACTAAAGGCTTCATCCTTATGTTTTAATAAGTACACATAGGTATATCTAGAACAATCATCAATAAAAGTAATTAAATATCTATTACCACATCTAGTTAACATTCCAGTCAAATCACATATGTCGGAATGAACAAGTTCAAGCAATCTTGTTGTTCTTACTACGCTATGAAATGGCTTTTTAATCATTTTCTATTTAACACATGTTTCACATTTTTCAATGTTTTTAATATCGCATTGTATTAATCCACATTTAATCATTCTTTTCATAGTATTAACTCATATATGTGCTAATCTACCATGCCATAAATTAAATGAATCAGTAACATACGCAAAAGATTTAACTTTATTTGAGTTATTCTCAATAGTACATAGTTTGACCATTCCTCCGATGGAATAATCCTTTCCAACAAAGTGCCCATTATGGGTTAATACAAGATTTTAAGATTCAAAAATAGATTTAATTCCAGGTTTTCCCAAGAGTACACCACTTGCTAAGTTTCTATTCATTTTCTGTACATGCAAGACATTTGTCAAAGTGATTTTCTTTCCTAAAGAGAAAATGAATTCCACATTTTCTTTGCAATCACTTTTGATCTTCCTTCATTTCCCATTTGTATCTCTTGATTGTCTTCTATGTCATGATAAGTTTTGAAAAGAGACTTATCCTAACATACATGGATTGTAGCACATGTATTGTACCACCTGCCCGGAACTTTGCCTTGGATTGCATTGATTTCGCTCACCGTAGTGATAATCTCATCAATGGAATTCACTTGTCCTTCCTTCTTTTGTTGTTTTCTATGTCTACAATTCATGGCATAGTGTCTCGATTTTCTACAAATATAGCAAGGTCCTTTGGGCTTTGTTTTTGAACTTTCCTTGATCCTTTCTAAGACTAAGAAATTTTCCTTTCTTTTTAAATTTGTTGGAATTGTCCACATTATCCACGGCATTAGCCTTTGAAGGGCCTTCATAAGAATTTTCAATCTTATCTCTTGCCCTTGATTCTTCCTCAATACGAAGATATTTTTGTATATCTTCCAAAGAAAAGTCTTTGAAATTGTGAAAAATCTTCTTCCTATATCATTTTCAAGAACCAAGAAGTTTAGCAATAATTGCTCCCACTTGAAAAGTTTCGGGAAGTTCAATTTTCACCGCTTTCAATTTGTTTACAATTATTTGTAACTCATGCACTTGAGGCATTAACAGTATATTATCCAAAAATTTGAAATCAAAATACTTAGATATTAAGAACTTTTTGGTACCTTCCTCCTCGACTTTGTATTTGCTTTCTAGCGCATACCAGATTTCTTTTGCCAATGTAGTGTTGGTGTAGAGATCATAGAGGCGATCGGATAACGCATTTAGGATATGGCCACGACATATCAATTCGTCCTCTTCTCGTTTTTTCCTTTCTACGCGAATTTCTTCGGTATCCTTGCCAGTTGCATCGAGAAGGGGCTCCAGTTTTGGATCAAGCACATAGAAGATCTTCAAGGCCGTTAATAGAAATTTAAGTTTGTCTTGTCATCTTGTGAAATTTGCACCATCGAATCTGTCCAAGCGTACCAGGTCTTGATTCATCATTTTGATTGTAGCAACTGTAGATTTCATCTCCATTGCAATAATAGTAACAAATAACGTTTAAGATTGTTGAGAATAATGGCAATTGAGAAGAAAATTATAAAAGTATATCAATGAAGGTTTGAATACGAAATTAATCTCGCTGTCCTTTAAAGGTATTTGCCTCCTTTCCAATGCTTTTTAAGGATTTTCGACAAATAATTTGTAGGAATAAACAAGCCTTGACAAGAAGAACACCAAAAAGCAAAGGTATTTCTTCACAATGAACAAGTGAAAATGGAAGAATTATGTGATAAATTTCTCAATACTGGAACTATATTTGGGGATAAATTTTAATGGAACTCAATATATATTTCTTGCACTTGGATCACCTATTTATAGGCCTTGGCAAGTTTTTCAGGGAATGGTGCAAAACAAGAATGAAAAGCCACCAATTTCAAATAAAAAACGGTCAAAAAACTAATCTAACGGTTAGTTTTAATAACCATGCGAACACATGGGCTATAGCCATGCAGTCGCATGGTTATAGCATCGCCGCCCTCCCATTCTCGGGAGGGCCTCATGCGACGCATGGTTAAGCCCTGTCCAAACAAACAGAATCACGGGTGCCAAAATCCCCTTGATTTAGATATTCTTATGGAAGCATATTGGAACAATAGAGTCAAATCCTTGGAGTTGTTAGCTTTGTTTTCAAGTTCTTTCATGATGATTTATTCATCTAATTGTTCCATTGCTATCATTCTTTGGGATATATTAGAGGGCTTATGCTTTGAGTGTCCTTAATTTTAAATTCAGCATGCTAAATGTCTCACGACGCGCATGATAAGTAGAAGCTAGGCATGGCCAATTATTGTATATTCATTTATTCATTATTTTTATTTTAGGGGTAAGTTTTTTTTTTTTTTTTTTGGTCGCCTCTTTTCTCTCCTTATTAATAAAAAAAGCCAAATAGAATAATCGATCTACCCAAAATAATATTAATAATAATCAGAATTATCTTAGCATAGAAATTACTTGAATATCTAAGATAGAACATGTGACACTCGTCATTCAACATAGTTTGCAATTCTCAACTTCATTTGAACTTCGTGAATTTTGAGAACACCAATAACCAATCCTTTGCACAAGCAAAAACAAGTGACCCTTCCTAGACAAGCAGTTGAACTGTTCAAGCGAATGACAACTTTTGATCCAATCTCCACATAAGTGTCCGGTCAAACCAGTGGCAGATGCAGATATTTAGAGTTAGCAGGGTCACAATCAAACTTATTAAAAAGTTACTAAAAATTATGTATTCTACAAGATCGCATACAGGTGATCACCATCGTCAATTCACAAATCTTATATATATAATAAATAGCAGTTCTCAAAGAATTCCAAATAATCTCACATTTATGATGAATAAAAATTTCTAAAGAATTCTCAAATTAAATATCACAAATAACAAAATAATCTTAACTCTCACTCTTTCAATTTTTCGGTCATCGCAGTAATTCTATTATAATAAAAAAGTCCAACTGCCATTACTACCTGACGATGCCAATATTGATATACCCCGAGGAGTTCATCCCGAGGACTCCGTATATACCCCATCTCATCTCTCTGCTATGGTCCTCGGGGTCTCCCTAAGGCCTCGAGGTTTTCTTGTCCTTGAGATACCTCGAGGACATATTTACATCCTCTCAAATCTTCGAGAATAGTCCTCAAGACATATACCACCAACATACCTCCTAAGACCTGGGTATCTAACAAACAAACCTAAACACCCAAGGATTCTACACCAACCCTTATACCGCTTGTCAAACAATTCCATTACAAGTAGGACACTCTTTATAAATAGAAATTCCCTTGGAGAAAAACATCCAACCAACACAATCCTACTAGGAGTACACTACCTACCCCTATAAAAGCAGAACCTTGGGCCATTATTCAGGTACGTTTTTTATTGTTCTTCAGCACATAGCCTCACGCATATATTTCCCTTTCTGACTTAAGCATCGGAGGGGCGATGAGAATATACCTCGTTGCCTTTGTTTCAGGTACCGAAAAGCTTCGTTCGTGCTCGATCTCAGTCCTCAATCTCGAGAAATCAGCAGGTACGATTTTTGGTAGCATCATTGGCGCCATCTGTGGGAAACGCTACCAAAAGCCATGGTAAACACACGTTCAGGTCTTCCACCAGCAAGCTCATCCGCTCCAAACTAACCCCCTCCTGAGGATATCCCTGTTCTTCAAGAGGAATCATCAGAAGTGCCAAAGCCCCAACCGGCAGTCGTCACTACTGGAGCCTTTGAAGAGCTCAGACAACAGGTCGCCATACTAACTCAGCTGCTAAGCCAAAGAAAATCGCATCCGTCGCACACACCAGCACCCCAGGGGGGTTTATGACTGATGCTCGAGCTCGAGCTCAGACACAAGTCCCTGACAATGGCGGAGCAGGGGCCTCGGGTATACCACATGTGACCTTGACCTCGAGATCAGTGACCATGGAGCCCGGGGAACTCGCTAGGATTATTCAAGAAGGAATTACGACAGGCCTACTTCAGGGCAACAAAGGGACGACAAGATTCAGTCCCAACACTCCCTTTACTCCCGAGATATTAATATTTCCCTTGCCAGACAGATTTAAGTATCCTAGGATCAAAGAATATGATGGGACCACCGATCCAATCAATCATTTGAATGTATACACGGACGTCATGAATCTACAGGTTGCACCAGATCAGGTGATGTGCAAAGCCTTCCCGCAAACTTTGACGAATGCTGCTAGGGATTGGTTCTCAACCTTAGAGCCCAACTCCATAGCCTCATTCTTGGATTTGGCGGACAAGTTCTCTACTTTCTTCGCGAGCAGTAAACGCATCAGGAAGACAGCGACTTTCCTCATGCAACTTAGACAAGGACAAAATGAGACCCTACGTGACTTCATGACCAGGTTCAACAAGGAAAGACTTCAGATCCCCGACCTACACATAACTGCAGCAGTTTCTGCCCTCACATATGCCATAAAGTGCGAGGCTTTCAAGATGTCTTTATCCAAAACTCCGCCAAAGACAGTCACCGAGCTTCTTACCGGAGCCGAGAAGTACATAAATATGGAGGAAACACTGAACCCGAGAAAGGTTGGACCATGCCATGACAGGGTCGGGCATAAAAGATAGCACGACCCGAATCCCCATGAAGAACATCGAAAAAAACAGAGATAGAAGGTTCCCTCGACGCCATTCACGCGTTTAAATACGTCAAAGACCAATATATTGATGGAGATCAAGGATACGAAAGAACTCAAATGGCCTGTCAGAATGAGGTCACCACCCGAATCCAGGGACATGAATAAGTACTGTGAGTTCCATCGGGATCATGGGCATACCACGGAGAACTGTAAGGCCCTGCAATGGGAGATTGAAGCCCTTATTAAAAGAGGATTCCTGAGTTCCTACGTCAGTAATGACAAACGCCCGAGGAATGATCGTAGCAGGGAAAAAGCCCCTGAGACAAAAAGGGATGGTCAACCTATTGCTGGAACCATCAATATCATCATTGGAGGCATTGCCTCGGGAGGAGACTCCAACAGTGGAAGAAAACAATATACCTGACAATATGCTTTGGCCTCTGGGATGCCTCATGGAAAACTGGAGGATATTACTTTTGGGACCGGGGACTTAGAAGGTGTATCACTTCCACATGATGACGCCTTGGTAATCTCAGCGATTGTGGCCAAATTTGAAGTGAAGAGAATCTTGGTTGACAACGGGAGTGCGGCCAATATACTTTCGCAAGAAGCTTTTGCAAAAATGGGAATCTCATCTCAGCATCTCAAAGCGGTTAAAACTCCTCTCCAGGGGTTTGGGGGAGGAGTCATCACTCCAAAGGGTGTCGTGGAGCTTCCTCTAACTTTGGGTTCTAGCCAGAAACAGGTTACGGAGATGACATCTTTTCAAGTGGTACGTGTCTCAATGGCCTATAACGCTATTCTGGGAAGACCACTCCTGAACAAGATTAAAGCCATTGTGTCCACCTTCCACCTAGCCATGAAGTTTCCAACATGTAATGGCGTTGGGGTCGTCCGTGGAGACCAGATAGCTGCCAGACAATGCTATGTTGCCAGCATTCAGAAAATAAATAACGACGTCTTACAAATCTCGAGGATTGAGCCCGAGGCTGGGCAACAAGTCAGACTTGCTCCTGTTGAAGAATTGATGGAAATTGAGCTCGAGCATGATAAGAAGGTGACAATTGGTCGGGATCTTGACGTCACCCTGAAGACAGAACTTGTTGGTTGCTTATCTCACAACATTGACGTTTTTGCCTGGAAGGTTGAGGATATGTCAGGGATAGACCCTAAAATTACAGTCCACAGGCTTAACATTAGCCCAGGGGCCAGGCCAGTAAAGCAGAGGAAAAGACAGTTTGCCTCGGAACGTCGGGAGGTCATTCGCGAAGAAATTAACAAACTCATCAGTGCTCAGTTCATTCGGGAGGTCCAATATCCCGATTGGCTGGCCAATGTTGTTTTAGTAAAGAAGGCCAATGGTAAGTGGAGGGTCTGCATTGACTTCACAGATCTTAACAAAGCATGTCCAAAGGATAGTTATCCCCTACCGCGGATTGACAACTTAGTGGATAGCACATCTGGACATAAGCTATACAACTTCTTAGATGCATTTTCTGGTTATCATCAAATCCTCATGGCCGAGGAAGATCAAGAAAAGACATCATTCATGGCCAATTCCGCCATATACTATTATAAGGTCATGCCTTTCGGTTTGAAGAATGAAGGGGCAACATACCAAAAGCTCATCAACAAAGTCTTTGCTAGCTTGATTGGAAGGAATGTGGAGGCATACGTTGATGATATGGTGGTCAAGAGCAAACAGGTGGACCAACATATTTCAGATCTTGAAGAAGTGTTCAACACCTTGCGAAAGTACGG